ATGTGCAATTAGTGAAACGAGATAAGGGGAAAGATCGAATCACAAATGCTTTTGCAAGTTCTGAGTTGAGTGATTAACTGGTGTCACAAATGCTTGCAAAGTGTGCTGTTGTCACCACAGAGCAGCTCACGACTGACAGCAGCTCCTGACTTTATAATGCAACCATCCAGGGCCGTATCCAATGGAGGGGATGAGATGGTAAAGTGTTGAGGACAATTCAAACTTTAAGTAGATCACAGCGCTCCTGCCGTTAAACTTTGTAATGAACAAATGACACAAGACCGTTTTAATGCATATACTGGAAACTTTATCTAACAAAAGGTATTGCAATAACAAAACAGCTTTAACGTCATGAATCTCTTCACTGTCAATATAATCCACACAGAACCTTTTTTTTCCCCATCTTTTTCTTTTTCCAAAATTTTACACTTTGTATTTTCTTTGCTCCTCCAGAAAGTCCATAACATCTGGGGGGGAAATGACATCGTTAAGTGTGTGTTCACTGTCAACCAGAGAAATTAAGTTTAAAAAACAAAGACCCTGCAGCTAAAATTGTAAGTCTAAATGGGCAATAATGAAACAGACGCACCTTAAGCTCACAGTCTTAAATATTGCATGTTGCAAATGTAACAGTAAACTAAGAATCCATCCACTGCTAAAAATGTGCGAGAAGTTGCTGCTGACCTGAAGGGCCTCTTCACTTCTTAGTAGAACATTGCTTCGCCTGGTGAGCTTGTAGGACAGCGATTGCCTCGTCCACCTGACCAAGAGTGAGAAGAGACAATGGAATATATCATCGATAAATATGAGGCTACAGCCAGTAAACAGCTTAAAATGACACTGAAAATGGGGAAACAGCTTGGCCTCCAAAAGATAACAAAATCCATTGAACAGGACAATAAGACTCACAAAGTAACAGGGTAATCCTTCTTTCTTGGATCTACATTACGATTTAAGTGTCAAAATGACACATTGTGGTTTTATCAGGAGTTAAGTGCCAGACATTACAGTTTATTGTTTTTGCAGAATCTAGTCAGTGCAAACCATGATGTAACTGAATATATAAACAAGACATGTAGAATAATGTGATAATGATCTTTCCCCCCATTTTATTTTTGTAACATCACGATTTAAAACTTGCATTTGGTCAACTTTCCCAACAGAAAGCCAAGTGTTTACAAGTCTGTCGCAAAGTTGAAAATCTGGTGATTCTTTCTGTTGCTACAGTTTCTGGCTCTGATAAATGGTGTCATTTTGGCGAATTTGTTAAAAGATGCCCGCTGGTGGGATGTGGGGTTCAGAGGGTTAAAACTAAATGTGACATTTGTCCATGATTACAAAGTTCAGATTCATTCTGCAGCTGCAGGGCACCATTCATGTTCAACATTGTCCACTGTATGTGTGCCTGAAATGGGACCAGCCGAAAGCATATCACAAAGTAGCTGGGCCAAATAAAATCTGTGGAAGAATATAGTAAAAAAAAACAAACAAAAAAAACACCTCAGACATCATCAAAACCTGAAGTTGTACTTGGAACTGCCGCAATTAAGAGTTAGAAATATCAGCAGAAATTTCAAGTTAACTTCCGAGGCCTGTATAGTAAAGACAAGGCTTGACGTGTACAGCGTTTTAGGACATAATGACAAAAAAACAAGGCAGTACAAATTCTTTTCGACTTTGCATTCAGACCACAGATGGACAGAATAACAGCTCGGCACAGACATCAGTGTCATGCCAATGGTCACTGTGGCACAGACTCTGTTTGCAAATGGGGATGAAGACGGCAGCATCCATTTCAGCCATATTTTGTCTTCACTACTGGACAGATTCAGGAAATGATGGCACAATTGTTAGAAAACAATCAGATATTTAACCAGCCAATAGAAAAATGAACATAAAAATACTTTTAAGTTCAGGGACTCGGGCGACTCCAGCATGTGCAGCAGCTCCGTGTTGTCGATCTCCAGCAGCATCCCGGTGATTTTTCCAGCCAGGTTTGGGTGTAGGCCATGAATCAACGGGTACAAACGCTCCCCTGTGCGCCACAACAGACAGAGGAGTGACAACAAATACGCAGAAGCTCCTTCCATGTGCATGAAAAGAAAAAAAACAAAACAAAAACAAGCTGAAGTGAGAGATGCCACACCGAGAAGCTGTTTCTGATCCATAAGTGGTGCTGCAGCCAGCATTGAGGCAGTGAGCGGCTCTGGGCCTTGAACATGTGCTGGTGGCTCCACGACAGCCACCGGACCAACCTGAGGACATTAACACACCAGTTGCCTGAAAATGTTATTGTAAACAATGTTTTTTACTTTAAGATAAACACTAGTACGCACAACATATAAAACACACTGCTTAGACCCAAGTTAGCTTGTTAAAAAAGTAGCAAAATTATTGGACACAGAGTAATTTCAGGGGTTATTCTGCCTTTTAATGTGGGCCTCACATTCCAGTTTCTGCCAGTATGGTGGCTATAACTCAGTTTCTTAAGTAGAATATTACACCAGAAGGTCAAATTTATGTCTTAGAAGTCATAAGAACTGCTGCTTCTCCAAATGATTAAATGCACCAGGAGTCTCGTTCAATATTTACACAAATGCAGCCTACCAACACCGTCAGAATGTTTTGGGGTGACCTTTCCACTTTGTGTTCATGTAGAGTCCAATCAGAGTGAGGAATGTTATCAAGGTTTATATGTTTAAAATTGGCCATCTGTACACTTGTTTTCAGCTTTGGGTGTGCATTATAAATGTGCAACAATACAATACAGACAGTCATACCTGTAGTCTTGGCATAGGTGCAGGTACAGTAACAATCTGCTGAGGGTTCCTCACTGCAGAGTAATACTTATACTGGCTGTTCCTGTGCTCAGCAGGCATATCAGTGCGCCCTCCTACAGTCTGGGTGCCAATGTTGTCTAAAAAGAGCAAGAGTCATTTGTTTCAGGTGCTACCGTCCATGTACATGACACATTCTAGCAGGTTGTTGTAGTTCAGGTGCTTACTTGTCTTTTGTGTGGCGGTTACGACACGTGGAGCCTGGGTGGAAGCCTGTCTGACTGTAGTGATGGAGGCGGATCCACGTCGGGGAACAGGACCACCTGGAAACTGGGTTGAGTAAGGACCTAAAAACATGGAGATAATCAAATTCTAAACATACACACGTGTATCCCAGATGCATGTACTAACAGTATATGCTTACATACTTACAGAGTATACGTGACTGAGACAATAAAAGATTTGTCCACTCACCCTGCGGTCTCGGTGGTTGTCCTGTCCAACGAGGGACTGGTCTCATGTTGCTGACACCACTGTGGTTGTAGAAGGTGCGAGCGGGAGGCTGCAAGAAAAATATTAGTTAAAGCTGCACGACATTAAACTGCACATTTTGCATATTCTGTCTGATGTTGCAGGTATTTAATAATCTCAGAGGAAAAACTCCTACAAGCAGCTGGACGCAACAAAATAAACTTCAGCTCCTGATTTGTAAAATCTGGATTACATTGATTATTACTGGTGTGTTTCATTATTCTTATTGGTTACAGACTGTTTTCATTTTGGTGAAGTTGCATTTTTTTGGACAGTTTGCAAAAGATGGGAAATTGCTGAGCAAGGTGAATGAAAAAGAGGTTTTGTGATGTTGGCACACAAACTTTCTTTTGTCCTCCCTGTGATGTTTCTGAATCAATCCTGATGTATCACTTGTGCAAGTCTGTGTGTTACAGCAACAGTGTGGAGTTCACACTTGTGCTAAAAGTGACTTCTACAGAAGTGCTTATTCAGACATTAAGCAGACACATTCGGATGCTGTCGGAATAGTGGAAAGCTGCAGATGCCCAAAAGGGTCTATGAATGCTACATTTGGTTGGTTTGCTAAATTAAGTTCTACTTGGTAGCTACACCAAAATAAAAATGCAGACTGTATCACATTGCAATGATGAATGCATTCATTTTGCAGTGCAGAGAAATAAACCAGGACCTAAAGTATTTTCTGTACTTCTCACACACCTGTTAGGAATAATAACACAATCGCCACATCCTTCAAAATGCTGAAAGGCAAGAAATAGACAAATCCCATTCCCGTCACTGTTCAAAGATCCATACCTGTGGTACAGTGATGTAGTATGCAGACTGATGGAAGGAGTCGATAATTGGACTGGGCACCGATCTCAGGGTAGCAAGTCTCTGCAGGTACTTGTTAGTAAGAATTGCTTTGCGCTCCTCTCTCCGCTGAGCCAGGGCCACATACAGCGGCTTGCTCGCCACAATTCTCCCGTTCATTTCAGTGACTGCTTTTGTTGCTTCTTCGGCAGAAGAGAAACAGACAAAGCCGAAGCCTTTGCTCTGGGAGCCATCTGTCATCACCTAAAGGAAACAAAGAAACTCAGGTTTACAAATGTTTAAGCTACTTCACACCTAAGCAACTAACAGGGGTCAAACTTTAAGTGCAGGTTGTGTGTCCTGAGCTGCATTCAATCAGGAAAAGAATCAAAAAGCTACACAAGAAGAATGTTATTGTTTAGTGGTGTTTAATGTCACCAAAAAATGTGATCTAATTTTGCCTTTTCCACAGTGATTCTTCAGTAGAAAGTGTAGAAATACGTAATGGTTTGAGCAGTTTGTGTAGTGCAACAATAACTTACTATGAACACTATTAGCATTTAACAGCCACTTTAAAGCACATTGAGATTTACAGACTTTTATACTTAAAGTTGATGTTTTGCTTATAGCTTATCTTATTGGTCAGGCTTTTGTGTAGTCATACTATCCTGTTGAGGAGTCAAAATGTACACAGATTGATATATGCATGTACATAAACAGACACAAAAAATGCAGTTCATTAAAGCTGTCACTACCCATAATGTGTCCATTAACAGGTTTATGGTTGTATCTTTGGAGTTTACTAGAATATATCAACACTCTTGTGTTTAAAGTACATTATTTTTCTTAAAGGCTCCATTTAGTCCCTGTTTCTTTAAAGATCCCCTCAACAAAAGTACATCAATTATGTACCATAAAGCCTGGCATGGAGCAGAAGTCGTTCCAGCAAGCAAATGATAGTGAACTGTGAGGAAGCTGCTTATTCTTTGTTTGAGAGCCAAACAAGCAGCTCGGGAGTATTGTGCAAATGTGTTACATCGTGATGTCAACAAGTAATAAAAGAAAAGCCTGGACGTTAATGGTGCTTCAAGCAATTAAGCAGCAGTGTTTTCTGTGGGAGAGAATAACTCTTTTGTGTGGACTTTGAGCTTTGTAAGTTTGCAGACCTTTAATGTGCCCAAAAGCTACACTAAAGACAAGAAGTAACAAAAACACTAAAAACATAATATGGGCTTTTTAAAGAAAATGGCCCGTGACATTACTTTAGCACTGGTGATGGTGCCATAAGGGGCAAACTCCTTCCGAAGTGTGTCATTATCAATGCTGTCGTCCAAGTTCTTCACATACAGGTTCACCCCCTGAAATCAGAAGGAGCAAGAAATGTAAGTTCATGCCTCCAGATCATTTAATGTTTGTCAAGCTTTTCCTCATAAACAAAAACAGTAGAGCAGTAGAATCAATCTAACTGACATTTCAGGAAATTGTTCGATCCATTGCTGTAAATCGTATAGATGGAGAGATACCACCCTCAGCTTTGTTTATTTACTGTATCAAATATGGCTTTCTCAAAATGCCAAAGGATTTCTGTACTTGCTTTTTTCAAAACAAAAAGCAACAAAGAACGAAGATACACAAAGATAATCTGCTATTGGCCTCACAAGGGACATACGTTACTGCATACAGACGTATTTATCAGACAAACATCAATTATCTGGTTATCAGGTCAAAATTACTGACCGTTACAAGAGTATGCCACACGGATCCATTATGGGATCTGTCCTGTTCTACATTTAAACGTATCGATATAAATTTAGAAGCAACCTTACTTACTCTACGCGTTAACGTACAGAGTGACTCTCCTGCCTAAAATCAGATCCTGTACAGTGAGAAACTAGGAAATAAAAGCAGGATCATGACCTATAAAATCACTGACTACACCTTCACCAGTGTGCTTTCCCCAATTGATGTTGTTGTTTTTTGCACTAAGTGTTTAATCATATAATCCATTGGGTTCACAGAGAGATTAACAGTGATTACTGAATGAGCATGGTGCTGTATCTACGCTAACAAATCATTTATTTATCAGTTCATATTAAAGATAATGACAATATTGAACATGCTGAGGTCAGCCTTTTTTGACATAGCCACTTGACTTTACTCTTCTCCCTCAACCTACCTTGTACAATAAATAAAAGACATCTATGAAAAAATAAAAACACATCTATGTATAAATATTAGACAACTACAAAACTTTAAGCCTAATCCCAAACACTGATCATTAACAAGAAGTCATTCAGAAGTCTTTACATTGCAACGCCTGTATAAATGCAACACAGCAGCACCTGATAGCGTTGGTTGCGATCCTGTTTGATCTGATCAAACTTGCGCTTCAGCTCTTCCTGCCTCTCCTGACGCTTCTGAGCTCGCCCTACATAGATGATTTTCCCATCGATCTCCTTTCCGCTCATTTCATCAACTGCCTGAAAGACCAAGAGTGACAAGCATCATCATGGGGGCAGCAATTACTGATTATTTTCATTGTCCATTCATATGTTGATTGTTTTCTTAACTGATCAATCAGTTGTTTGGTCTACAAAATGTCAGAAACAGTTGAAACATGGTAATCTGAGTTTCCCAGAGCCTAAGATGTTATCTTCAAATGTCTTTGCTTGTTCACAATCCAAAGATATTCAGCATGCTGACATAGAGAAGTAAAGAAAATGTTCGCATTTGGTCACATGTGCAAACATCATTTGAGTGTGCCAGTTAAAACTCGACGTAATTGCATCCATGCTTGATATTCATTAGACTGATTTGAAATTTTATAGAAAATGCCGTAGATGTTTTCATGGCTTTTGGTTGCTCTTAATTTATATTCATTTTATTCAAGAAATCGATCTTGCCTGCCCGTCTGATAACATGAACAGAACTTTGGTCAACTCAGGTAGTTTTAGAACATGCTGTATAAATAAATCTGATTTGATCTGAAGGGAGGGTGGATCAATCAACAGATTTTCAGATTGAAATATTTTGCAAATACTAATTCACTTGAAAATATTTACATCAATGCAAGTTAGGGTATCCAAATTAAGGTATGCAACGTTGATCAACACCATGTTGTACCAAAAAAAAAAAATGGTTGGGAGATGCAACTAAGTTATACACTGGTTTTCTCAAACTTTTTTAGTGCTTCCAGTGGAAAAGTTAGCTAGGAGCCCTGTTAATCATTTTTCAAAAAGTTGCAGAAGTTGACAATGATAATTCATCATTGCAGCTCTGATCAATGTGTCATCTATACAGGAGAAAATCCCAATATCACATTTCTAGACAACAATCAAGATAGTAATGACACAGTGCTCTTAGCCATGCAATAGCATAAAGCTAACAATGCTGCAGTTCAACCTTTAAGTCAAGTTTAATAAACTGCTCTTGTACACTTGGCGCACACACACTACCTTCTGAGCGTCTTCATGGCTGCCATAGTTTACAAAGCCGAATCCTCGTGATCGACCCTTGTCATCCTTCATCACCCGCACACTCAGTGTTCTCCCTGACAGCACAAACCAGACCGTGATGTGCAAAGTGATCATGACATAACTGACTGCTCTGCCACCAATCCTAGCGATAGATTTGACAAGACAAAAAAAACACAAAAAAAAATCAAAACGAGTTTTCTTACCGAATGCAGAAAAGGTGTCCTTCAGTTTCTCATCAGTGCAGTCTTCACCAAAGTTTTTGATGTAGACGTTGGTGAACGTTGAAGCCTTGTTTCCAGACTCCATCTCTCTTTCCTTGCGTGACTTAAAGTGACCAACAAAACTGCAGACAGAATTGAACCCATGAAGCAGCGGAACAACAAATCAAAGGATAAAAGAAATGTAGGTGGTCACAATGCTTCCTGTCCATGATGTGGAAAATGATGTTTGGCTTCACCACACAGATTTAAAAAATGCAACAATCAATGAGGACAGACGCCAAAAACAAACAAAACGTTGAGACATAACATGCAAATTATTATTATTTTAATTGTATTATAACTACTTTATTAAATTTTACAACCACTAAATATTTCACTAAATATTGATTAGATCACAAAATGTAAGAGCAAATAAATCCTTATTTCTGCTTCCATGGGAAATAAAAGAGGACAGGGAAAAATCTACACCATATGGACTTGATAGCTTTCAGATGGTTTTGCTTCATGCCACACTGTTACCTGCTACTCACAGCACACACAGACACAACAAACCTAGACACACATCCTACTTATTTACTGACCTAGGCAGGACCTGACATGTTTGCCCCAGGACCTTGGCCTCTGAGTTGACAATGCCAGATTTGAACATACCTCCCACTTTACTGAGCAAAAAAAGACACATGGAATAGTCATCTGTAAAAAGTCTGTGATGTCATCAATAGAGCCTTCAGCATTCATTAACAGTTCACACACTTAACATACATATTCTGCTCTATTCTTTGCCTGAGCTTTAGTTTTTTTAGATTGCACTTTTGCCACTGTTTGCAAACTAACATGGTCAAATCAAAGTAGTGCACTTACACTTTCTTATCATTTAGCAGCATCCCATTCATGGTTTCAATGGCCCGGTTCGCAGCCTCCTGAGTTTCAAAGTGAACAAAGCCGTAGCCTTTGGATCCTTTCTCATCACAAACAACCTACAAAGAGAAAGGATTTAAATTGAACAACATGTGGAGAAACATTAACTTCTGTGCAAAAAGATGTTAAAGATCAGGGAGCTACACTAACTGATGCAACAATCACAAAGATGGCCACTTACCTTGCACGACAAAATATTGCCAAAGGTTGAGAAGGTATCATACAGTGCCTTGTTGTCGATAGACTCGTCCATGTTCTTGATGAAGATGTTCCCCACACCAGACTTCCTGAGACCTGGGTCACGCTGAGACCACATTATTCGAATTGGCCGACCCTTGATGAGGTCATAGTTCATGGTATCCAGGGCACACTCCGCTAAAACAAAATTTTAAAAAAACAAAAAACAAAACATCTTATTGTTTAGGAAAAAAAAGTGCAATGTTTTTATTATATTTGTCACAAAGCAGTGCAGCACCTTCAAGGGTCGAACTTCTGCTTTTAATGAAGCTATGACTTGCACTTTGCATTTATAAAAATAAATAAATAAATAAAATACAGTTTGGATTTTCTCCAAAGAAACCAGATCCAACATGAGAAGTATAAATGACTGGCATTTCTTTGGCTTTATTGCTATTCTATTGGCTGATCCGTTTCCACCCTCATTCCCGGGCTGTTGTCACTAAATCTATTCTACATGTCAGTCTGATGTTTATTTTAAAAATTTTAAATTCAGCTCTAAAGAGAGTATTCTCCTCTGCATTGCATTAAAAATTAAAGCTTGGCACTTACTCTCAACAAAAGTCTTATTTCTATCATTCTGGGGAACTGTTGTAGACCCAGAATGGCTATTTTATATATTTTACAGCATCTGTCAAGCAGTAAACCCACAGTTGCCGACCCACCACAGCAGGAATTACTGTGACAACAAATTAGTACACTGATTTGGTAAAGTGCCAGATTTCAGTTCACTTTGGCCACGGTGGGCTACTGTACCATCAGCTGGTTGCTGGAAGTTTATGTAGGCGTATCCCAGAGATCTGCGGGTGATGATGTCACGGCACACACGGATTGAAATAATGGGTCCAGCAGGAGAAAACTTCTGATAAAGCATGGCTTCTGTAACATCAGGGTGCAGGTCCCCAACATACAAAGAAGCGAGAGGATATGTCGGTCCACTGCTGTTCATCCTGGGTAAAAGCTAGTTCAAGAAAAACAGTAATGAGCATTGCCTTGTGTTTTTGTAGCAGTTGATTTTGCTGAAGTAATTTCTGAAGCCCTTTCCAAAGTCAAACTAAAAAGACTCTCCAATACTTATTTTCAGAATCCGCCAATGATTTTCTCCATAAATAAGTTAATCATATTTGGAAGTTTTGGTGTTTTGCTCAAAAACATAAATTGTTTTAATTAAAAAAAAAAAAAAAACAGTCAGTTAGATGAGAGTTAAGAGCAGGGAAAGAAAACAAACATCTAAAACATCTGTCAATGTAATGCAACAGAAATTGAAGCAACTGTCAAATGAATTGCATGACTGTTGTATTGAACTGCACATGTGTAGACCACAAAGTGCATTCTTCTGGCTCTACACAAATGTATTCATGCAACAAGCCAACCTCACGTATGCCATCTGTAAATTACTGTCTCACTCAAAATTTACATAATCAATGTCACAGTTTTGTTTTTCTTTACTTATTCTAACATTTTTTCTTTTTTTTTTAACAGATTTGCCCCATTTTGCTAAATGCACCCCAGATAATACAATTCTTTGTGCATCTTTGCTGGAGAATTCAAATATCGTAGCATATCACTGTTTTGCTAAACAACAGATAATGTCTAGGAGAATCACAGAGTGTTGATGTTCTTGTTGACTTTCAAAAACCAACAACAAAAAACAGGTCGAACCTCTACAATCATTTCTACATTTTTTAAAAAAAACGCATTTTTACAAACAGTAATTTGTGTTTTTACAACTTTTGTACATATTGTATGTGTGACTGTAAAATTACAGTTTTGCAATATTTAATCTTTTACTATATTTGAGCCTTTAACTACATTTAATCATTCAAATATATAATAAAATGTTCATTCAAAAATCACATCACAAACAGTCTGCCAAATTACTAGACTTTTGACCCTCTAAAATTATATTATAACATATATATTTTTTACATTTTATTTTTAAAGATTTTACATAAGTGTACTTAACAAACGTGTCAGTGTGGTTAGGCCCAGTTTAAACCCACTACAGAGACCTCTATATCAAGTAGATATACTGAAAGCAAATGCCTGAAATACACACAGCTGAAAGAGCGCAAATGCACAGCAAAAATAAAAAATATCCCCCCACCTGGCACATTTTACATTTACGTTGCTAAAGTTTCTTCAACAATTATGACACAGATTTGATAAAAAAAAACGTGAAGTTGATGTGACAACTCAAAACTGAGTTCCAAAAAATACTGACTCGCTGCCAGAAACACTAGCTAGTTAGCTAATTAGCTAAATTTGCATCTTTTATTTATGCATTTCACATCACCGCTGGCTGCTACACGTCGAGCAATTACATTTAGGCTACAGGCAACGTTTGTGATGAATAAACTTACTTTTTTTATAATGAGGCCGTCGGACTTGTGATTTGCAATGCAGCAGTTTGTGAGCAACTTTCCACACGGCGGGACGATGTTTTGGTTTAATTATTGCCGTGGAACACCTGCACGTTTCCTCCGCGCAGCACCGTTTTAAATTGAGCATGTGAGGGCGCAGAGCCTGCAGGGACGTGACCCTCCGCGGTGAAAACTAGATCTCATTAGCATGTCAAACGCTAATTAATGTGGCCACTGATGTAAAAAAAAAAAAAAAAAAAAACAAGCAGGGCGACACATCTAGAAACAGTGAAATCACAGCCCACCCACACCTTGTCGCCAAATCTTGATTTTTATTCTCTTTATGAATTCAAGGTAAGCTTAAAATTCTCCTTGTGAACAGAAATGAAGACGTAATTTGCCTGTTATCTTAAACGAAACTTTATTTCACTGAATGGTCTTTGACACTTTCCTATTTCTTACATGTATAGTGAAACTAGAATGGTTTTAAGATACATAAACACAAAGCTAGAATTACACCAACCATTGTTTATCTCCATTTCGTCACTGCTTTTTATAGCTATTCTAAATTTTCACAACCACGTGTGTGCACTGGGTAATAGACTGTTACAGAAGCAAATTTTAGCCATAAGACTTGTCAGTAAAAACAAAGCAAGTAGATACCTGATATACAGACAGGCTTCGTTCCACATTCACTAACTGCATTTTCATCAAGCATAATAATAAACTGACATGATTTTTTTTTCTTTTTTTTTTCAAAACAGAAGATTTCAATTCATTGGAGCATTGTCAGAGTAAACAGACCGTCAGCTATAATGTGGAATGGTGTCTTCAACTACAATAATGTGGAATGTAGTGGTGATACATGGTATTGTGACACTGAGCTTCTTTCCCAAGTGATGAAATGGGCTTCTCCAAATTGCACCTTTGAAATAGACCTGATTTTAAATTAGTTTTTTTTGTTTTCTTTTAGGTAATAATTCCAACTAACTATCGTTAACAGCAGAGTGATGCACCTAGGCAAAAAAAAAAAACAAGAAAAAAAATAAAAACTGAGGTCAAGATTATGTCTTGTGGACTTAACTCGTTCTCTTTTAAACAACAAGCAGATGCTGCCACCTAAACGAAACGGAGGCTGCGAGAGAAAGCCAGGCACGAAAACTTCTTGGAGAAAACAACTGCTTTTAAGAGGAATATTTTGCAAGCAGGGTTGATACAGTGTGGTAAGACATTTTTTTTTTTTCAATTAACATCAATAAAAGGTTACTTTAGGTTTTACATACAGATGATAGTCAATCTTGCAAAATACATGGAACCACATTTACGCATATACAATTTTCATTGTACTGAGTTAAAGCAGCACCTGAACAGTGAGTAAAACTACAATGACAATCCATACTTAGTTCAAAAAACAAAAAGGAGCACTGCCTTTCCAGAAGCCTAATAATGTGGAATGTCTTATGTCTGAACAAATCTAACATGACAATTTAAGGGGTCCCTTAAAACTTTAAAACTGTGAATTTGTGAACATGGTAAAGGAGCATTACACCAAGATGTCAGTGTCACAATACAGCCTGCCTCCTTTCTGTATGAGCCCACAGCAGAATTGCAGTTAGTTGAATACAGGATTGTACGTGTCTGAAAATTCAAACAAAACTGTTTTGGGGTTGTGAAGCAAATGGAACGCCTACCATCACAGTGTTTGGTGGAAATCAACTGCCAGTTTAATTACCATACAATAAAACCTGTAAATATCATGAGGAATCACAAATAAGAAAAGTAACAAAAAAAAAAAAAAAATAGGGATGAAAAATGCACAACAAACTAGCTGGGACAAGGGAATTTGGAAGGACGATTAGAATTCACAACACCCCCCTCCCCCCCAGACCATACGCACAATCTTTCACATCCATTCACACTTGCTCGCTCACTACATACAGACCTACACACAAAGCTGACAAAAACAACAGCAACATGGACTCACTAATCAATACAACATGTTTCCACAAAGTGACTGAATCTTCTAACAACTCAAAATTACCCTGTCACCTCACAGTGAACTGAGAGGGGTAAACTAGTTGGTCAGGAGCAATTCAGGCTGCTTGTCATACAGAAGTGGGAGGGGCTGATGGAGTGGAAGGGGATGTATATAAGCTGTCTGTGTTTAAGATAAGAGTGTAGGTGGATTAACAGTGCAATTCCATTAGTTTTCCCCATCTCCGCCCTCTCCCTCATCTGCCTGGTTTTCTGATGTCCACAGCTGGGAACAGAGACAGAAAGAAAAAAAAAAAGTCAGAACTTCCTGTGAATTAACACATCAGGGTCAGTCAGAGGCCAAACAATGTGCAGCTCAACACTTACAGTCAGGTTGTCCCTTAGTAGTTGCATGATCAGGGTGCTGTCTTTGTAAGAATCCTCGTTCAAAGTGTCAAGTTCAGCAATGGCTTCATCAAATGCCTAAAAAAACAAATACTCAAGTTGTTAATTTAACTTAAGCAGGGTATCAGTACCATCTAGATACTGTTAGGTAAGGATTAAAATTACATAAATGCTCAAAACTCTATTATATGATGTCTTTATATGTCCTCAAATCTTTAAAAATCACTTGTAAAATGCTAAATAGCTACACCTTTAGGCTTCAGTTCATACCGTCTTAGCCAGGCAGCACGCCTTGTCCGGGTTGTTGAGGATTTCATAATAGAAGACTGAGAAGTTGAGGGCCAGGCCAAGCCTGATAGGGTGTGTTGGCTGCATCTCCCCCTTGCTAATGTCAAAAGCTTGCTGGTACGCCTGCTGGGAGCTCTCCACTGTACCTGTGTAGGCGCAAGAGAAGTAAAAAAAATACTTATCACTCAGTATTTTAAAACAGTATTAAATGATTTTGGTCACTTGGGGGCAGCAGAACCAGCACCCACAATGACATATTGTATTATCACCTTAATTAAAATGACAGTGTCTGAAAACAGTTCCCCATTACATTTCAAACAGACATGGAGCAAAACTAGCATTACTTTCAAACCATGTATGCGTGGCCTGGCAAGCAAAGGTCCAGTATTTGTTTTCCCTTTAGCTCAGTTCTTGACTCGTCCTGAAGGAAACAACTAATTCCTTGGGCGCTCCATACTCTCTGAAAGCCAGCTAAGTGCAAAGTTTGTTTATTTCTTCTTTAGTGTTGAGCACTAGGCCTGCAGCATGTACATCAGTGGATATGTTTGTTTGTTTTGCATAAAAAAATAGCTCCTTTGCTGGAAACAAAGGCACTGTAAAACGGCACTTGATAGCCAGTTCCCTACTCAAAAATAAAACAGAGATTGCCTTGCTTGGTAATAACACTGTGCGCTTATCACCTCCAGGGAATTCAGGATACACATTATTATTTGATGATTTGTTATATCAATATTACATAAAACAGTGTCAAAGAAATCATTTATGATGTAAATCATTTCCTCACTTACCTTTCTTATTGTCCCCAGATGCAACTTCAGACAGGTATCTATAATAGTCTCCTTTCATTTTCAGATAGAACACCTTGCTTTCAGCAGCGCTTGCATTGGCAATGAGAAAGTTGTCCAGTAGCCCCTGAAAACAATAGGTGATTTTTTTTTCAGTTTTCTGATAACTTTGCTAACTTACACACATTCACCGTCTTCAGAATTGTATGATTTAAGACTGTTTTTAAGCACACAGAAAGAGGAAAGCCTTACGAGCACATCATGGCAGATATCCTGCAGCTCAGTTTCTATCTTCTCCCGGTATTCACGTGCCATCTGCTGTTTTTTGTCATTGCCTTCAGTCTTCTGCTCAATGCTGGAGATGACACGCCAGGATGAACGGCGTGCTCCTACCACATTCTTGTAGGCAACAGAGAGAAGGTTGCGCTCCTCATTTGACAGCTCAGAGCCTTGCTCTGTCACTGACTTCATGGCTGCGGCCATGTCATCATAGCGCTCAGCCTGCTCAGCAAGCTTGGCCTTCTGTACCAGGTCGTTCTTATCCATTTTCTAGACTGAAGAGAAGAAGATACAGAGTTAGAAGTAGTCCTGTATAGTTCATCAAAAGACAAAGAAGAATGTTTCACAGTAGTTATCACATTATTCATTCACCAGATATTTGTGTGTACACTGAATTCATATGAATTGGCTTTATTTTGCTTTGGCAGACAAAGTCTTTTAAACGAGGAAGCCACTGGATTCAATGGAAAGTGAGGATAAGCTTTGTGAACTGGGCCCCTTGGCAAGTGGGTCAACCATACACATCACTTGCTAAGGTTAGCTGCCAGCTAGCCGATAGCGTTTTCCAACCCTGCATCGTCCTTACCGTTTCAACCGACTGTGGCCTAAATGGGGTGAATCCAATTTGTCAACAGTCTTAGCAGCTACCACATTATAAAATGTAACACGTACGGCTGTTTTACTGGCTCATTTAACGTTGTTACAACCGACACTTGCTACATCAGCCAAAGCCTTCCCGGGTCAGGCTTTAATGCCCTCCCCTAATGTTGCTGTGTATGCTAGCAGCGCTAGCGGGCTCGTACATTCTGCTAATTGATGTTCCGATTGCCTTTATAAATACGGCTGAACTTACTCAAAATTTGCTTCGATCCAATTTCAATCTGTGATCTAACTGGATTAGACTGCGGTAAAGGTGCTAATCTGTCGTATTCGTGATAACGCAAAGCGAGTGAGTGGCTAATGTACGTCTAATGTACCATTACCGCTACATAACGGGAACGGCCAGGCCAGCAAAAGCGACGGCCGACTTTCATTAAAAAAACACGGTTATGGTGTTGGCACACAACATATGTGGTTTTGTGTAATTATCAGGAAAAGGAATCGTGTATTGCAGTGTATTATTTCTGGGTTTAATTCATTTTCAACAGCTGTACCACGGCCCGCCCAGGCTGCAGAGCCCGTTAGAACAAAGTGTCATGGAATCCGACCGTCGCTTAGCTCGCAGGCTAGCAGCTAATGCTAGCAGCTACTGTTAGCCTGCGAGCTCCGCTAGCCTTTCACAAACCCGTTAGGTTGGTCCGTTATGATGGCTTCTCAACAGGATTCAACCGGACACGATAACACAGCCCTTCTAACACTGAGCTACGAATGAAAACCTGCTATTATCGTGCGATATTCATACGTGCAAGGTTATCACACTTACAATATTGGTGACTTTTAATCCTGCTTTTTTTTCTCTCTGGACGATTCAGCCTCCGTCCTCCGTCTCGTTCAGCGTATCGTTCAGGGCAGTACCACTTCCGCTACACTGGCACTTGTGTTTCCTCTTTTCCCTCCACACATCTGCCTTACGTAATGCAGCCGCGGCTCTAAAGATCATTTATGTGGCCAAACTTGAAATAGAGTTTTTCCAAAAAAACACTTTCTATATTCGCTTTAAACCGCCTCTCATAAATCTGACGTGTTAAAACAGGCTGCATCGCCACTGTCACAATATGGCGCTTTATTCCTATCGTGGTGGGTCCATGATTTTTTGTTACATTTTTTTAATTACATCTTAATTAAATCAAACACTGCATATTTACGTGACTGCTTGCGCTTTTCTTTTCAGTCCAATCTGTGTCTGCAAGGGTGACTTAGACAAAGTGAGCATTATACAAACGTTTCTTAAAGAGTTCAGCAGGACCTTCTGGCAAATCTGCTTTAACTTCAAAGCTGTCTTCATCAATTAAACACATTACAGAACAATGTAAATATATAAATATAAGGAAAAAAACAAGCTGCAACACCCTATATGTGTTTAAAAGCTACTTTTGCTTTCCATTTTGCACAGCAAGGTCAAAGGTCAAAGTTGGTGTTTTGCTCAAGGGCACTTCAGCTGTTCAACGTGTTTATTAGTACAGGACCTGGCTGAAATTAAAAATCATTTACATTATCAATTAAAGTGAATCTGTCAATAAAGTCGCTTAATTTGGTTGAACAGTCCAAAACTCAAATATATTTAATTTGCAATAAATAAATAAATTATATAATAATAATAATAATTGCTGGATATTTGGCATTTTTGTACAAAAAAAAATGCAAGTCAGTTTCTGTTAATGGACCAATCGCTTCTCCAATTTTATGACAATTTTTAAAAATTCCATTTTACTGTATGCAGAGTATTTATAATGGCAATAGCACGATTTTTTTCCCCTGCAGAGAAGAAGCGTGTATGTTTTCCAAGTGCAACATGCAGACACCTAACATGTAGTTTCTTCATCCATGTCTGTGGAAAGAGGTACCTGTATTCACTTGAGATTTAAGAAACAAAGCTTGTTTGATAGAAAACTTGTTGATGTTAATTCAGAAAAAACAGAAACATGTTCTCAGAGTAACCTACAAGGACTCATCAGTGGCAGACTTATGAAAGAGCCAGGTATGTGAAAGATACACACAGACCAGCTCCAGTAAAACCATCTGTCGAATATCATGTACGAGCCACTTCGGCTGCCAAAACAGCTGTAACCTGCCAACACATGAACCTCTGAGGTGTTCTGTGGTGTCTGACACTTAAATGTTGAACCTTGCTTAGTCCAGGTGGTGCAGGAAATCAAATCCCCCTGACCTGTGGGGGAAAACAAAGGCATATATATAGACAACGTCTGCAAGACATGATCATGACATGATGTCTGGAGAAAGGTTCTTGTGATTTAAACATCTCACCTTTAATAAATCAGTGCAGAGATGCGGGAATTGAGCTTTTTTCCCGGTAAATGTTGAGGCCAAGTCAACACCTGGAATGATGTGTGGCATGACACATGATGATTGATTCCATTAGTGCCCTTACCATGGTTGGGGGTGTACTTGGTCTGCAACAATGTTTATTGTGTGTCACAGTAACGTCCACATAAATGCCAGGACCCAAGGCTTCCCAGAAAAACACAAAATGATTAATGACATTCACCTCAGCTGTCAGTAGCTTTAAAGCTGTGGCTGCTCAGCGCATGCAAAAATACTTTGCATTAAATAATGTAAGTTTGACTACCTAGTTAGAAATTCTTAAAATTATAATTACGCCTTCTCCCTCACTGAAAAATCTAATGATGTGCAAATATTTTTCATTTTAGAAGTCTGACATTCGGTTACAATAAAATTTCTACTTCACTGAAAGTTTATCATCAGTCTACATAGGAAGCAGGCTTCAAGTTTCCACATGGCAGTAATGTAAGTTGCCTATTTACAACAGAACTCTTTCCAGTCCTCAGTCATCGATTAAATGCCTGAAATCTATATATATTTACACGTTTTTACCATAAGAATAATCCCTTCCTGCATTAGATGTAACTCTACACCACTTTAAATTTACAGATCCTGTCTTACTCGCCGCTCATGCCTCCTAACTCGCTGCAGCTCGAGCACACCAGGTCACCTACAACTCTGCTATAAAACTAGTCTAACCTGCACAACAGCAAGTTGTAATATTGGAGTGATATAGAATAAGAATTATGATGTGGAAGGTCCCACGAGGCGGATTAATGTGGTTCTTTAAGTTTGTTACGTATGAAACTCTGGCCGTCTGATTCTGTGTTTTTGAGACTGTCATCTTTAGGGTAGAAATGCTCTGCTGTGGCTTTGACTGCCAATTTTGCTCATGATATAACTCCAGCATAGAAAAAAAACACCATATGGAGCTTTAAAAAGTAAAAAAATGTAATAAATAAAAAATCTTCACCAGAGGGAGTCTTTAACTCTCAGCAGTCAAATTAAAAACAGTCTTCTAAAATCAAACTCTCAAAAGAAAATATTCAAGAGAAGCAACACTGATCAAAGCTCATTTTAGTAGAAGGGGACTTCCACAAACAGGCAAATGAATTCTACGACCCTCAAAAATATCTGTTTCCTCAGAAATAGTCACTCTGATTACGGGAAGTCTCCTCTCCTGAAGGGAGGGTGCTTAAGCTGCTGTGAAGTTGGTCTTTGACTTTAGTATTTTCATCGAAAAAAAGAACATACTTCAAATAGTTTTCGCTTTTCCATTCAGTACTAGATTATAAATCACTCCATTTTTTCCATTAATAACAGGAACTGAGCACTACTTTATTCCAGAAACAACATACTTTTGTCTTTTTTTTTTTTTAATTTAAAAGCATCTACTTTTTTTTTACTTGATGATTTGGCTGCAACTAATATTTTAATCATCACTTTCCCCCTCCAGTATGTTTTTCCAACTATCAACATTTTCTGTTTGTTGGACAAATAGCAAATACAGCATTACAAAGAGTCAACAAGACCACTTAGTGTGACACACACACAGCACATATTGAGTTAAAAGTTCCTTTTCTTACTCAGCAATACACTGGCAGCTTAATAAAAACTGGATGGAAAGTTTTCCTGCTCACATGTACCTCCGATCCCAGCCTCGCAGACAGACCTCTCTTCTCTCACCAGCAACTGAGAAACCATGATGCAATTAAGGATTTTAATTTTGACATCTGTTATGCTCCCGTGGATACTGTTATCCGCAGCAAGAAAACCTAAAGTAAGGACATCTTTTGGGATTTTACACACTTTCCTAATTTAGTGGGTGAAAAATCTGAATCAAGTTTAGAGGAAAAGCATAGCTAAGATGAAAATGTTGTCTTTTTCTAGAAGGAGGTTGTAAACATTCCTGACTATGGCTTTTCTGAAGACTCAGGCACCGAACCAGCTGCATCTCCGAAAGCCGAAGGTAAGGCTTTTTTTTAAACAGATAAATAGTTTTCGACAACTGGTTAAAAGCTGATTATGCAACACTTGCCGAAGCATTCTTCCACATTTTTGTGAATGTAGCTAAAGCCTGTATTATGTAATAATGGGGCCGATCAAGTGTCCTCGTCTAAACTAAGTGTGGCGCATTTTGTGCTGCACAGTCACACTGCTGAGACCATTTAATTCTTCAAAAAGAAAAATGAGGAAAACTTGTTTCTGTCAAAACAACCTGACGACGAGACAATGTGATCTTTTCAGAGCTGCCGACATGTCTACTGTGCGTCTGCCTGAGCGGATCTGTTTACTGCGAGGAGGTTTCCCCAGACTTGTCAGCTGTCCCATCACTGCCAAAAGAAACAGCATATCTCTACGCACGTTTCAACAAAATCACAAAAATCAAAAATAAAGACTTTGCAGACATGGGTAAAGGAAATCCACTGTATTAAGCTCTTATCATTCTGCTCTCAGTGAATGCATCTTCAACCTCTCTTTTATGTTTATTATCCAGCTACATTACGAAGAATCGACCTAACTGGGAATCTCATCGCTGAGATAGACGACGGAGCTTTTTCAAAACTTCCCAACCTCGAGGAGCTCACTCTTGCAGAAAACAGACTGACCAAACTTCCTGTGCTGCCCAACAAGCTAGTATCTTTCAACGCCAATTTCAACAAGCTGAAAACCCAGGGTGTAAAGGCAACAGCTTTTAAAGTAAGTTGACAAGTTGGTCCACTGCTGTCCTGTCACAGCAGTGATCTTGCTTGCATGCTGTTGTGTGCATCTTTATGTGTCAGGTAGTGACCTTTTGTTGTTGCAGAAACTCGCAAGACTGGCGTATCTTTACCTCGGAAACAATGAACTGACGGCAGTGCCCCAGCTTCCGGAGTCTCTCCACGTTGTGCACCTGCATGTAAGCTTCTCTCAAAGAAAAGCAATCAGATTTTTTTTCCAGCAGCTACACGATGCACCAATATTGTGTTCTCGGTCTTTCCTGCAGAACAACAAGATCTCAAAAATAACCGACGAGACATTCTGCAAAGGTAACACCAGCCACTACATCCGCAGCAACATGGACGAGGTGAGGCTGGATGGCAACCCCCTGAAGCTGTCACAGCACCCCGACAGCTTCATCTGTCTGCAGTCTCTGCCTATTGGCTGGTACAACTGAAACACAAAACAGCATGCTTTTGACTGAGGTAGACCTTGAGGGAAACGTTCTGTGCAATCTGAGTAAGTGCAGGACAAAGATGCAGATAGTTTAAATAAAGCAAAAATAATAATAATGATAATAATGATAAATAATGCACAGTGAAGTTCTTAAGTGACATTTTTATATACTCAATAAATCAATTAAATACTTTGTTTTTCATAATTAAATAGAAATCATGTAATTGTATAACAAAGATTTCTGCAATAGGAGGAAATTGTGTTTGTTTGTTGTTGTTTTTTTTTGTATTTTAACAGCAATATCTGCCTGTATTTAACACATCTGTGCAACATTTTTCCAAAGCGTCCCTAAACACAAACCTGCTTTTATCTGTGCGGAACAATTTCACAGATTTGTCTTAGCAGGTACTATGCAATGTTTTTAAGGTTATACATCAACACAAACTGGCTGTCAAAGCATTAGTGACACATTGGTATCATGACGAGATGAGACCTTTGTTGTGATCATTTCTCATGACAGTTGTATTATCATTGCAGTTTTGCTATTGTTTTTCTAACCGAAGACCATATAAACAATAAAACCTGCATGCTGGATGTGATTTCTCCATCAGCTTTTCACTTCTGACTCCTCAATAATGTTCGTAAAGTTGTGACACAGTTGTTGTAACCCAGTGAGGGATGATGGCAGTCCAACAACATGTCCCTAGATGACACATGTGCAGTCCACATTGAAGCCGAGCATTTTTCACTTGGCTGCGGGATCTTGAAGGACTACCAAACCGTCTGTTATCTTCTGCTGGTACTCTCGTTCTGATCGTTTTCTTCGGTAGACATCATCTGGAAATAAAAAAAAATAGATTCAAAAGACTGAAACGTGGTTCCAGTTAGAGCTGCAGTGGTACATATGGCGGACTACTGAAAATACGTTCTGGGTGGCTGAAGCTTGGCATTTATCTCCTATTTACAACGGCCCTTTATTCACAGCATTTGGTTTGATTTTTCATAGCAGAAAACCCACAGGTGTTGCTATTTAATATAACAATGGCTCTGTTCAAGTGTCCCAGCAAGCTGTCAGAGTGAAGTGACGGAGCATGCAAAACAGACCTTCTCCTCAGCACACATTTTGGCTCACTATAGTTGAAAAACACATGTAATTTGATGCCGGCTGCATACCATTCAGGTGAGCCAGCTCTGAGGTGCTGGTGCTGTATGGTGACTCAGTGGGACATTACATATAGCAGCCATCATTACCAAAGTTTGTTTCTTTGCTGACCAGTCAAAATGTATGCCTTGAAAAAAACAGCTATTAGTTGTTTTGCAGATTTATGCAAGTGTGTAAAATACCACAACAGATGTAATAAAAAAAAACTGCTTTCAAGTTGGGTAATGATGAAAGAAGGAATGGGAATCTGTTCTCTGTGGAGAAAAACATTTCTCTGTATCCTTAAATGGCCTCAGACGTTTATGGGACTAAATGTGCAGGGTAGATTGTTTTCTTCTTCTTCTTTTTTTTTTTTAACACAAGAGGATTTTGAACTATTTCCCATCTGGAATAATGGGAATGGGTTCAGTGAGAGTAGGAACATTCAAGGGTCCTTTTTCTTTGCAGTCTTTTAAACAATCTACTCTTTCCAGGTATAGCTTCAGTCTGCTGTACAGTCCTTGTACTTGAGAAGCTTCATTTTTATGCAACTTTATTATACTTTTACATCTTCAGAGGGAATTATTGCAGCTACTTTGAAGAGTTTAAAAAGTGTGACACATTGTTTATAACACTCAAAAACAGTACATAAAGGGGATTAAACTAGTTCCAGCTTTGCCAGAATCCATCTAAAAAAACAAAATCTAACAATATCATTTGTTATTAGTCCAACAATTAGTCAAGTGAACATTTTCTTAATCAAAAAGCAACCATTTTGTTGACAGAAATTTTTTTTTTTCTTCTTTGGCATTTCTTTGTAAACTGACAATTTTGTTAAGGGCATTTTTAAAAATATTTTCTAGCTTTTTATTGACTAAACATTTATGCAATTATTCCAAAAAATACTAAATACTGATAACAAAAATTGTTTCCCTATAATATATTAATAAATTAAAAATGAGACAAAAATATGAATGCAGGGCTATTTCAGAGGCATTGTTTGTCCTTCTGCTGCTAAACAGCACTGCAGTGATTCACTGATTAGATGTCAGCTATCAAATAAACTGTCAGCTATTTTGAGAATGAATTAATCAGTTTGAGGGGTTTTTTTGTTGTTTTTTTGTAGTTAAAAATTTGCAGATTTCAGCCACTTAAATTTGAGTATGTGCTGGTTTATCTGTCCTCTATGACAATAAACTGAATATTTTGGGTTGTGGACAAAACATTTGAGGAAGTCACATTTGGGAAACACCGATCAGCATTTTTCACTACCTTCTTACATTTAATAGACCAAACAACAGATTGATGAATGAACAATGAAAATGACTGTAAGTTAAATGCCTGCTGATGATATGTATCTACGTAATCCTTTGTCGTATAATTAATATGTACAATATGTCGTCTAGATCAATGGTTAGTTATACAAATTCCCACTAACACACTGTTAGAGACGACTAATGGTTGATGTACCCCTCACTTATTATAGATAATGAAATATTTCAGTAAGTATTCTATACAACATAAGTGCGTACACCTGTGGGCAATATCACTTAAATATCAAACAATTCAAAAATGAATGCCCTTACAGTAACTGCAATTCTTTTTGGTGGAACAGCTGGGTATTTGTTTCTATATAAAATGAAATAAAACAGTTTTCATTCATTAAAAATACAAACCCCACAGAAGGAACTTAATGCAGCAAAAGTGAATACATCTTTCATTACTGAGATTCACACTTTTACTTAGAGGAGACCAGAGTTGCATACATTTTTGATGCGATTGTTCCACCATTCTTTAAAGACTATTTTTTTCAGCAGCCCTTTCTTTGAATACCATCCATATACATTGAAGTATGTTGATTTTATGCACACTTCTTACTGCCTGAGCGATCAAAGAAACTCCAGTTTCCATTGACAGCCCCTATGCCAAGTCTGCCCATCTGTTTTTTAGAGGTAGATTGTGCAAGTAACTGACTGTCCATGGTATCATTTCAAGAGGACGGCACCTGTGGCTCATATTAGTGGTACTGTGGCTTGTTCTATACCTCTTGATCACGGCTGCAACTGCCTTTCAGATGATTTTTTTGTTGCTTTGGTTGGTTTAGTTGGACTCTTGTATCTTTGTAAAATCTCACAAGCAGACATTTTCACTTCCTCTGGTTTGTTTTTCTGCCAAGTGGAACACATGCAGACAGACACAGCCCATAGGTACAAAGCTTCTGGTTTTGCAGCTAATTTTATAACCATGTGCATGGAGTTAGGCTTGTAAGAAATCACTGAATTATATTTCAGCGTTCACAGGTTTTCTAACTTGTGTGTCAGCCACCGCAGCTGTATTCACTTCTGTAGTATTTTCAATATAATACTTTGAAAGTATAGATTTTTGATTGCTCATAAGAGGAAATACTCTTATAAAAGGCACTTCTTGAAATGAGTTGTAACTTGGAATGATTTGACATTGAAGTGATTGATGTGTACTGTACAGCTGCAGCTGTAAACAACACGTGTGCAGTCTGACCCTAACAGTCTTAATACACTGAAAAAAGGTGTCTGATTTCTCATATTTCCTGTTGGCAGCAGTCAGAAAGAAAAAGAAAAGGCTGTAGGATGATTTTAGAAAACACATATGTGGAAGGTCAGGGGAGGTGTGTGTTCCAGATTTGTACACGCGCTCCGTCCTAACAGGGTGCCCCTGTAAACTCGTGGTAGACACGTTATACTAAAATAATTATCACGTTCCTTGGCAGAAACGTTTGACATTACGTGAGGCAGCTTTTCAGGCGGATAGCTAGTCCTTAATTTAATCTAGCGAGACATTTAAAAGTTGTGTGTTTATATCTAGCTGTTCTTAACGGCCATTTCAGGTAGCTGTAGGCTAACAGTGTCCACCATGCTAGCTTAAGAAGATGTCGTAGCGTTATATTTAGTGTAAAAGAGGCGCTCAAATTGTCGGTTTGCACTTACAAAAAGTCTCTTTTCCTATCCTCACGTTGATCATGATCCACTCCATGACTCCTCCAATGCAGAAAAAGATAGGTAGGAACCTGTACGACCCGAAGCGACGTTTCCCGGGGACAAACCTCAACAAACTTCTCACGGTTTTGCTCTTAATAAACATTCTGACTAACTGGCATGTACAAGCTGGGGCTCGACAAACGGTCTATAAACTCTTGAGGTAACCTTTAGAGAACAGGCTCATGCATGGACCTCTTACATGTCCTTTACAAATGTTATGAGGGCGATGGACGAGAGGGTGCGCTCGTTTCGCTACCTCGCATAAACCAAGCGTGCGGAGTTCTCAAGAATCCAGAGACGAACCAAAAGCAGCGCGACGTTTGTGATTAAAATGAACGCACCCCGGAAGAGTCGCAGCATCCGGGTGTGTGGTAAGCGTTAGTTTTAAAAAAATGGCTATGCGAAATGAAAAAGCGTAACACAGGTTTGAAGGCCACATAACGTTGACAGTTTTGTTCACTTTCTCTGCACACGTTAGTAAAATTAATTTTAAATGGTGAACATTGTTTTTCAATGTATTTATGAACAAAAACTGGCCGAAAAAATACATAATGTGCATAATATATGAAGATACAATACGGTTTTCATGGAATGGTAAGTCTTAAGAAGACCATTGGGTCAAGATTTTGACATGGTCTATGTAGAACCTGTATATCTCAGTATGGTATACAGTAGAAATGTACTGTCTGAAAGCCTTTGATTTGTAAAATCATGTCAAGTATTAAGAATCAATAATTAAATCCATGTATTGATCCTGAAGCTGTGGCTGTGTTTTGAACCACCGACCTAAGAGCAAGAATGCCTTCAAGGACCTGTATGGGGAAAATCCTTTTTACTGGTATTTCTTAAAAACTTGAAGGTGTAAAACAAAAGCTGTAAGAATATGCAGATGTTTTTTTCTGCCATTCTTCTAATCTCCCCTCAACTGCATAGCTTCGCAGCTTTACGAGCTAGAAAGAACTTTCTATACAGAATAAGTTTCTATATAGAAATATTTCTTATAACAAAAGGAATTAATGTCCTTCTGACATATTGCTCTCTGTGCTCACATATACCACATTTAAATCCACCCAAACTCCAAATGAAGCTGTTCTCATTTACATATTTTTCTGTTTTTGTTGTCAGACAACAGAACAAATATGAAATAGTGAATGAAACACAGCCCATTAAGAGTAAATGTTAACTGGCATTCACTTTGTAGTGATTTTCAAGCTGCTGCTCTGCACGACTGACCTTCTGATGTTATAGCTGCAACGTTGGCAGACGAACTTACCATAAACGTAAGTTTAAAATGACCACTCAGAGCGATAGAGCAGGAGAAAGTACTGGTCCCGCACACTCATTCATATCTTATGCGATGAAGTGTTTTGCTCTGCGCTGTCAATCACAGATGCAGAGAGAGTCTTCTTCCTGAAGGGGATATAAACAGCCATAGCTCAGCAGTATTAAAAGTTACATGTATTGAAAACAGCCAGTTTAGAACAGGCTGAAACCAGGGGTTATACAGTTGTAGTAAAATTAACAGTTTTTATGGTATATTGAGCTGAAAAATTGTAGGACGCATTCTGCTCGTTAATTTGCTGAAAAAGGGGCACAATATGGGACCACTGAAAAATGATCACTTGCAGAGCATCAAAACTGGGGTGGTGGTAGCTTAGCATCCATAGGTTGAATAACGCTTTCAGGATATATGAACAATTGCATCAGCCCCTGTCAATCAAAACACATCACTACAAAACTATTTAGCATGGGGACAGACTTCTTTTAAATGGACAAGATACCTACAGTATTTACTGTATGACAGAGACGTAAGCCTTACATCTGGGTACATATGAACTACTGTATATTCATACAAACAAATCTTACTGCAAGCTAAAACAAAATTTCACAAGTATAAAACCTAAACTTAAGTTTAGGTTTTCTGACCCCAAAATAATAATAATAATAATAATAATAATAATAAACCTTCTCCATTATTATGAACCCATTCAAATAAATCTTTCCTGCTGTGGTTTTTCCCTCTTAAAATTAAATTATGGACATGTCAACATGTTTCACATTTTTTAGTGCCTTCTCTATTGAAATTCAATGAACGCTCTATAAAAATAGGTCACTGGATGGAAATCAAATAAAGCCATAGGGTTGTGCTGACATACAAAAGAAAAACACAAACACATTAAGATTATCTGACAATGCAGTTTAACGCGGTCAGACAGTTCTTACAGTGAATAACATAAACCCTCACAAACACATTCTTTAAACCCAGTGAATAGCTAAAAACGTATTAAACTAAAATATTTGACGTGCCAAATTATTCAGATGAATTATTGCTTAACTGTACATGCTTGGGAAATATACTATCTCCTCCTATTAGGTTAGAAATTTGGAGTTAACTTGAATGTGACTGGAAGTGGTTGGATGTTTGAACAGCTGATATACCAAACGAGCTATAGCGCAAAATATCAGAGCTAAAATGCAAAGTTCGGCAACAAAGCGAAATTAATGAAATCAAATACACAGATGGATTTATTTTGGCTGGGATGACCAAACACATCACTGTTGATATGAGCTCAGAAATGAAACAGTATGACGTAGTAATATTAAGCACACAGAGCAGATACATACAGTATACATACACAAGACAGTCAGACACATGCAACAACTACTAGGGGCTAGAAATAGTACCGTACAAGGGGATAATAGAGACCTAAGAGACTAATTCTAAGATCTACTGTAAACTCACCAGAAAACTACTAGGCGAAAGATAACCATAAGTTATGCTTATTATAAAAAAGTAAACTCCTATCATCTTGGAGTCCAAAAAAGTTATTTGTTCAGTGTCTCAAGTTCAAAATCTGATGTAACTTGTGAACAAGACAGCTCTTCTTTTTTTTTTACTTTTTCCTACAAATTGTGATTAAAACTCATATTAATGCAGTTTAATGTTAAGATCTGATACCATATGTAGGCACCGAGTCTCAAATCATGAGTACTTCTTTACAACCACTTTATTACTCATTTCTTAACCACAATTATTCCTATAAAAATCATTGCACCCACATTTTAGCATCACTATGTTAATACAGTGTCCTTACTGAATTAACTTCACGGCCTTTCTGCCTCCTAAGAAATGCTGTTTTTAGTTTTCAGACCTTACAATCAAAGACATATTCCATTTTCAAGAAATGTCAAATATGTACTTAGCAAGATGGACGAGAAAGTATTGTGCTTAAACAGGTGAATGAATTAAGAATTCACGTTTTCATGTTTTTTTGCTGTCTGGATTTTCAGCTTTGTGCACTATTCAACATTGGCTAAAGCAAGAAAAAAAAAATCAGTTAGTGATACATGAATGAAATGGAGGTCAATTTAGTTCTTTTTTGTTATCAGGATTTGTGGAATATGAAGACAAATTTAACAGCAGTGCCACCGCTGTGCTGTAACTCAGTCTTCAACTTTGTGAGCTGGTCTACAGAAAGTCCAGTGGTGCTCGACCGTGTTCTCGTTTGCACGCTCACTCATGTGATGCACACGCGTGTTCCGAATGGTGAAACCTTGCTTCATTATGTAGTCCATGAGGTGAACCCTTAGGGACACCTCCTGATGATAGTCACATGGTCCGAAGGTGAACGACACCTGGCAGTCTCTGGTGTCCATCATGTGTTTGTTCCACTTTGTGAAGTTGTTGGAAATACCTTCGAGCAGGGCGTGAACCTTCGTAGTTATGGTTAGCTGTGTGATGATGACAGCAACTGGGTTTGAATATTTTGACAGTTTCCGAGTGCTAGAGAGCTCCACGACCTGCTCAAAGATGTCGGGAGGGTACAGCGGCTTGGGATCGTGAAGGCACTGGATCAAAGGTTCGATTTGGTAGAAATCCGCCTCTTTCCTCAGGAGGTCTGTCTCTGTGAAGTCCACGGGAAGGGTCAGCTCAGACGTCCGCAGGAAGTTCAGGATGTACCGGAAAAGTGTTCCATCGCGATCGATGAAATAATTCCCTTGGGAATCTCGAGTTGTGGGGAAATCTCCCCGGAACATTGCGCCCAGCATGGAGTCTGGATAACGCTGCAGGGTGGATAGACTGGTGGTGTACAGGTGGCCTCCCACGTTCAAGGTAACGGGAGTAGTCATCTAGCAGAGGAAAGGACAATTTGTCAAGTTAAAGTAAAGTAGAGTTTGCATTTTGCAGTAAAAAGCGACATTGTGAACAGCAAGACAGTCAAGTGGGAAGTAGAAATACACTTAGTTTTCAGCATATTAGGCACACCTAGCTAAAATTAGTTTAATCTAACACATTAAATACTATAGTAAGTGCTAATAAATTGCATCAGTTCAACACAAACCACAGCCTCTCAATGTGACATTAACATCCCTCTAAAAACTTGAAAAAAAAAAACAACATTCTAGCTTTTATGAAGGCAGGATTTACTACCTTGTTTTTGACGGAACTGGATTCAGTTTCATTTACACTAAACTGGAAACAGAGTAAGTTTCAGCAGTGTCTGACATTGCCCTGATTTTTAGCCATCTCTTACCCGATGGCCCCAGTCTCCATTATCCATTTGTAGAAGAATACCCACTTGGTCAGAACCAAAGTAGAGAGGCAACAGATAAGTATTTTCACCTGTGAAAAAACAGTCACATTTACATGAGCTGTAACAAAGTTTCATTATGCAGAATAAGACGGACACGGTGATGTAGGCTCAGTCAAATACTGCATTACAGATAAGAGCTTGCATCAACTCTCGTGTTAGATTACGTGAACATGGGAGCTGTTTTGTGTGTATATGAACATACTGGATTCAACAGTAAAAGCTGACTGCTGTTCACTAGATGTGTTTCATACCAAAAAACAGTTTTTTTAAACAAGGTACCTTAGTTTATCATTCCAAATGACACTTCCATGAATAACAGTAGACAAGAAATTTAGCCTCAACAGTCACTCATTATAATCACTGAGGCACCTCAGGGGTATTAACACAGAATTTACCATAACAAACTAATACGGTTGCTCAGTTCTGCTCAATTTCAGATCAAGTGAACTGTCTCCCAGCAGCTCTTGCCAGTACTGCAGGTTTGACCAAACAAGGGCAATCATGAATGAAGAGCAAGGATATTAACTTTTTTTTTTTAAACTGAAAAGTTCTCTTTACCATCATGGAAGAAGCCTAATCAATCTATTTAGAATTAAACAGGACATTATCTTATTCAGCAGCCTGTAATTTGACTTCAGTGACCTGATATCCCATCTGTTGGCAAAATGAAGGGAGTGGCATCAGCAGGAAGACCCCTACTACCAAACACAATACATTTAGTTTGGCCATTGTTCATTCTCACCTCCTCTGGCAATGTGACACGGTTCAAAGTAGCTTCTAGACTACACTCAAAACCTGTTTCCAAGTTCAATAATAAACTTTATATCTCATATATCTGTGCATAAAAAGTCAGAGCTGAAGACTAGAGATGGTAATGCCTCTTACTTGAAACTGAAACCTAGCTGTGATGAATCCTTTGCACACAAACCCCGTCTCATTCACGTTTCATACCTTCCTCTGCTGTATAACAAACTATTTCTCCTGCACTGATGAATGTTTGTCAAGCCAACAAACCAACGTTGGCTTTAAAGCTAATATTGAGAGCAGCCATCCAACCACAGTCCATTTCATTGCATTTGCTGCCATGAAACCGAAGAAAACTGATACCAAAAGCAACACACTCCATGTAAAAGTTCAATGATGTTGCTTTTAAGTCGTAAATCCAGCGTGGGTACTCTAAAGTATGTAGCGTTAACAATTTAAGTGCTACACTGGAAATGTTAACCGTTTAGCCAGCTAACCGAGCTAACAGCTAGTTTCCAGCTAACAAGCTAACACAGCTAGCAGTCCATGAGCCATTAGCTGCGGTTACTACTAAGGTTAACACCGGGACCTCAATTGGACTAACTGGGAGTGGAAATAGACGCTAAAATAAAGGCTTACCGGCTCTCTTTTGTGCCTACTTGTGTTTTTTTGTCCAGTAACAGCGGCCTGCGTTTGGCATTTAACGGTGCAGCCGGATAGTCATTGATGTCTGCCGCTGGTTGCACCGGGCAGCTGTGCTCGGCTCCAGGCTGCAGCAAAAACTGCGCACGCAAGGAGGGTGAAGGAGGGGAGGAGGTGCTGCTGCAAGCTCAGGCACCTCTGCAGGAACACATCCCCCCCGTCTGCGCGCGCACACACACATACGCACGTGCACACACACAGACACACACAGATTCATGCACAGGGTTTTTTATTAGCAGTCCACATTACAAATGAAATGTGATTTATAACACATAATGCAATGCAGGAGCACTGCAACTCCTGCCTACTGCAATCATTTCTGAAGTATGTGCATCTGTCTACAAAAAGCATATGAAGCGTTAGGATAGAAGGAGCTGATTGACAGTCTTTTTTTTTTTTTTTCAGGAAGATTTCTTCATGCCACCCCTGGCATTCTGCTGCAGGATGATGAACTCCAGGATGAGTTTGGCTGTCCGACAAGGCCTCTCCATCACCACAGAGTGGCCGCAGTTCTCCAGCAGGTCCACTCTGCATCCGGGCAACATCTCTGCAATGACTGCAGCCCCAGACACATCCACCACCTAGATGGAATCACAGTTTTTATTACGTCTTTGAAGGAGACTGAAGGTTCTTTATTCAGACATTATTTACTAAAGAAACCTGAGCCACCGCCTTCGTGTTTGTTTGAATCTTAGAATTAGTTTAGAAGCAAAAGCTGCAGGGTGATCACTTATGTGTTTACACAAGCTTTGCTGAGTCACTGTATCAGTGAGCCATCATAATTACCTGGTCTTGTTTGCCCCATATCACTTGTAAAGGTGCAGTTATCAGATGCAAGTGATCCTGTAAGGCATATCTTGATTTCTCACCAACAATCTCCATAAACACTGTTTTTTAAAAAGAAAAAAAAAAGAATTGAGTGGGGTTTTTTTCTCAATATGAAGTATACTGTACTGTTAGATGGTCACAGCTAAAATGTGTCAGAGCAAAGTGAACCGACCCTCTTGATAAAATGTGTTGTGAGGCTGTCGGACGTCGACCAGTCCTTGAAGAATCTAAACGATGCAAATGTATGGTTAAACATCCACAAAATATGACAAACCTTCATACAAAGGAGGATATGTTTTTGTGTTTGGTCTTTACTAAATGAAGTTCTGACCTGCTGAGGAATTCTAAAGCGAACATGGGAACACAGTCTGAACATGTCCTCCATCTCCTCGGGGGTTGTGGGAATCAGCGGGATGTTCAGTGTGTAATTGCTGTGCTCCAGATCCTGCAGATGATTGTCAAATTTGGTCTCACATGGATGTCTTATACCTGCAGGATGAAAAGAAAAGTAAAAGAAGAAAAAAAAAACAGCGTTGGATTTTACACTGATGATGCATGGCCATGTTTTGTTTGGAAAAGAGGAAAATCGCAAGCTGCTAAGGAAAGCTGACAAAGCAAAAATGGGTAATGCTTTAAATACGGCAAGAGCAAACCTATGATTAAACTAAATGTCAGAAATAGCAACTTATCATAGGCATTGATTTAATTATTGCTTTGTAGGAATTCATTTGCTTTTAAACAGGCAGTATTTCATCAGGGTCAGATAGCTGCTTATTCTTCCACAGCTAACTACAAGAAGGGATACTTAGGTTTATAGCTGACTGAGGATGTTAATATGTTAATAAAAACATTAAAGCTGAAGATATCTGGAGGAAAAAAAACAAAACAAAACATGAAAATATCCAATTTACATCCTTTCTACCGAACAGCTAAAGGCAGTCAAACGATTGTAAAAATGAACATTCAAGTGGGATTCGGACCCAGCCTCCCACGTGCGTGTCCTCCAACACCACATCCTGCTCTCACCACTAATTTTGTTGCTGTTTATACTCTGTCACCTGATTGGTGAGAAGCCTTGTGGTTGGCTGAAATCGGTTTGATTTTCTGAAGCCTGAAAACAGAGCTGGGAGGAGGTGCAGAAATGTAGTTTAAACCACTTTAATTACAATATGCTGAAAGATCTGCACACACACACAAATATCTGCGTATTAACAGTTGTATGAGTGTGCATTTTAACAAAAATGATTATCAGGTATATTCCCGTTTATTTACATTTTCAAATTACTTTATTATCAGTTGATGTAATCATTTCCCTTTTGTTTTATTTTTCAGTATTTTTAATAGAATGTGAAATATACATCAGGTAATCCCTCCCCAAAAAATCAGTTCTTATCACAGGGGATGTGTTGTAACTTTGACATTATTCTGTGATTATGATTACGATGATGATTACTATTATCATTACTGTATGTGCATCATTACCTAACAGAAAAGTACAATTTCTACTCCGGCATAATAAAATAAAATATCAATAATACAATATCTATATATAATAAATAAAACACATTTTATATTATATATTATATGAAATATTATAAATATATTATAAAACATGTATATATTATGATAAGTGTTTTTATTTCTATTTACAGAAGGTGATTGATAAATTATTTCCTTTTTTTTTTTTTAATTACGGGACAATCAGTCTTATAAGCGAACCGCATATTTTCTGTTATTTTATGCATTTATTTATTATGGACATTTTTATTCTTAAGGCATTATACAATAAAAATGGTCTTCTTTTATTCACTATAGATACACCAGTAACAACAGAAAATGGCCTGCTTTTTTAAAAATCATTGGTTATTAATAGTAGTAGTATTATTATTCATAGTATTTACTTTACTATAGATGCACCAATAAAAGGAGAACATTTTAGTTTTAACTTTAGACACACCGTTAAAAACAAAGTGTCTTATCTTACTGTGGTGCAGTTAGGAGTGAAATAACTACGCTGCTGAG